GTTTTTCTAATGATCTATCTTCTTGTCTATTTATCTTTCTATCTGTTTTTCTAATGAGCTATCTTCTTGTCTATTTATCTTTCTATCTGTTTTTCTAATGAGCTATCTTCTTGTCTATTTATCTTTCTATCTGTTTTTCTAATGATCTATCTTCTTGTCTATTTATCTTTCTATCTGTTTTTTTAATGATCTATCTTCTTGTCTATTTATCTTTCTATCTGTTTTTCTAATGATCTATCTTCTTGTCTATTTATCTTTCTATCTGTTTGTCTTTCTTTTATCTATATTTTTATAGTCCGCTTACCTATCTTTGTCTTTCTAACTATTAATCTATCTGTCTTTCTCTTTCTATCTCTATATTACCTGTTTTTATGTTCATCTGTCTATCTCTGTTCCATGTAGTTTAATTTACCAGCTTCCTGTAAAATATAACCTAAAATTCGTGTTTGTTTTTGTAAAAATACTGACTGTTATTTTATTTCTTCCTCGTTTCTTGTAAGATATAAAAATATGATACTGAAACAGTCAGATGCTTTCAAATAATTCTTCTGATTTTTTAATGTTTCAATGCTGATAATTTAAATAGAACAAGAAGGAAAATAAACGCAGAAAATCAAAATGCCCCCCTAGTGAACACCTTCTTAACTACGTTTCAAAACCTTCTGTACCGAATTGTAAGGACAACACAATAATGTGTCATGGTCTACATGCGTTGTTATATTCGTCTTTGTTTTGGTTAAAAACTTTAAAAAATAGCACATTTGTTCCTTTTAATAGAACTTTGGACTGAAGGGTTAAGAATGGCCATAGGGACTCGACTGGCTTTTATCTGAAATCGGTTTCTAACCCTGATTTTCACAGGAAAACCATCGCTGAGGTTGGGTAAACAGAAGAGGTTGTGACACTTGTAAAAAAAAGAACACGAGATAACAAGATCATTACACTTGAGCATTAGGCATTTGAAACAGCAGTTGGTAAAGTGGGACAGAAAATAAAGATTGGATCTTCACTGTGTTCTTGAGGAAGTTGACCTACAACTGAGGTGTGGAGAGAAACACCTCTTCAAGTGCTACTAACAAAGTCAATAATGAAAAAAATATCCAGACCCGATATTGGTGCATTGACATTATATTTTATGACGTGGATTTTGTGATAACTTCCTTGTCAAATAAAAATAAAAGATTTCTGAGTAGAATATATAAGATCAAGAACGTACGAATCTCCACAGATCAGAACTTCGGATACCAGCAGTAGCATAGCTTACAGTTATGAAGAAACAGGTAAGTAGATGCGAAACTAAACTTAATAATCTTAGGATAAATCAATTTGTATTCTTTATGAAAAGTATTGTATTCGAAACTAATTTCTGATAAATTGACTTGTATAGAGTTAGTGATATAAAAGGATACTCATTATAATTCCGGAGTAATTTTGAACAGGATCTTTGACAAACCGACTCTTTACGTCACTTCCTTTCTATTTCACACAACAAATTGCTTAGAAAAGTTCATTTGAAATGCTGGAAACTCACGCTAGGCCTAACATGGCCCTCAATAAAATAGATGTTCGCACAAATATTCTACTCTTTACTAAAAACTTGAATTTACTGAATCTATTAAAGTATATTTTAACTCCAACACATAAAAACATCATACAACAGTATTTATAACAATACCCTGTTCACCATTGTTTGAGTTCTGTTCCTGCTATATATTAATAGTGTTTATAGTAATACCCTGTTCACCGTTGTTTAAGTTCTGTTCCTGTTATATCTTAATAGTCTTTATAGTAATACCCTGTTCACCGTTGTTTAAGTTCTGTTCCTGCTATATATTAATAGTCTTTATAGTAATACCCTGTTCACCGTTGTTTGAGTTCTGTTCCTGTTATATATTAATAGTTTTTATAACAATACCCTGTTCACCGTTGTTTAAGTTCTGTTCCTGCTATATATTAATAGTCTTTATAACAATACCCTGTTCACCGTTGTTTAAGTTCTGTTTCTGTTATATATTAATAGTCTTTATAGTAATACCCTGTTCGCCGTTGTTTAAGTTCTGTTCCTGCTATATCTTAATAGTCTTTATAGTAATACCCTGCTCACCGTTGTTTAAGTTCTGTTCCTGCTATATCTTAATAGTCTTTATAGTAATACCCTGTTCACCGTTGTTTAAGTTCTGTTCCTGTTATATCTTAATAGTCTTTATAGTAATACCCTGTTCACCGTTGGTTAAGTTCTGTTCCTGCTATACATTAATAGTCTTTATAACAATACCCTGTTCACCGTTGTTTAAGTTCTGTTCCCGCTACATATTAATAGTCTTTATAGTAATACCCTGTTCACCGTTGTTTAAGTTCTGTTCCTGCTATATATTAATAGTCTTTATAGTAATACCCTGTTCACCGTTGTTTGAGTTCTGTTCCTGCTATATCTTAATAGTCTTTATAGTAATACCCTGTTCACGTTGTTTAAGTTC